TCCCCCATATATTAATTCATCCCCCATATAGTAATTCATCCCCCATAGTAATTCATCCCCCCATAGTAATTCATCCCCCCATAGTAATTCATCCCCCATATAGTAATTCATCCCCCATATAGTAAGTCCCCCATATAGTAAGTCCCCCATATAGTAAGTCCCCCCCATATAGTAAGTCCCCCCCCATATAGTAAGTCCCCCCCCATATAGTAAGTCCCCCCCATATAGTAAGTCCCCCCCCCCATATAGTAAGTCCCCCCCCATATAGTAAGTCCCCCCCATATAGTAAGTCCCCCCCCCATATAGTAAGTCCCCCATATAGTAAGTCCCCCCCCATATAGTAAGTCCCCCCCCATATAGTAAGTCCCCCCCCATATAGTAATTCATCCCCCATATAGTAAGTCCCCCCTGTGTCAATTCACTTACCTTTGCTCCGCGCGTTCCTCTCGCCGTGTTTCCCGCGCCGTTCTGGTCTTCAGGGCGGACTGTGAGAGGAGAGGAGTTCGTCACGCTGCCCCGCCTACATCCTGGCTGCCCCGCCTACATCCTGACAGCTGCAGAGTCCTGACTTTTGGGGCGGCCGCCCGAGAGGAGGGAGGGGAGGGGAGGTGAGGGGGCGGCCGCCCTGCACACGCCCGTCCGAGAGGAGGGAGGGGAGCGGGCGCCCGGCACACAGAAGAGCCGCATTTAAGCTTGTAAAGAGCCGCATGTGGCTCGCGAGCCGCGGCTTGCCGACCACTGTGATAGACCAACACAAAGTGGCACATAATTGTGAAGTGCAAGGAAAATGATAAATGGTTTTACAAATAAATATCTGAAAAGTGTGGTGTGCATTTGTATTCAGCCCCTCTGAGTCAATACTTTGTAGAACCACCTTTCGCTGCAATTCCAGCTGCAAGACGTTTTAGGGATGTCTCTACCAGCTTTGCACACCTAGAGAGTGACATTTTTGTCCATTCTTCTTTGCTAAATAGCTCAAACTCTGTCAGATTGGTTGAAGAGCGTCTGAACAGCATTTTTCAGGTCACAGATTCTCAATTGGATTTAGGTCTGGACTTTTCTAACACATGAATATGCTTTGATCTAAACCATTCCATTGTAGCTCTGGCTGTATGTTTAGGGTTGTTGTCCTGCTGTAAAGTGAACCTCCGCCCCAGTCTCAAGTCTTTTACGGACTCTTAACAGGTTTTTCTTCTAAGATTGCCCTGTATTTGGCTCCATCCATCTTTCTATCAACTCTGACCAGCTTCCCTGTCCCTGCTGAAGAAAAGCATCCCCACAACATGATGCTGCCACCACCATGTTTCACAGTGGGGATGGTGTATTCAGGGTGATGTGCAGTGCTAGTTTTCCGCCACACATAGCGTTTTGCTTTTAGGCCAAAAAGTTCAATTTTGGTCTCATCTGACCAGAGCATTTTCTTACAAGTTTACTGTGTCCCCCACATGGCTTCTCGCAAACTGCAAACGGGACTTCTTATGGCTTTCTTTCAACAATGGCTTTCTTCTTGCCACTCTTTCATAAAGGCCAGATTATTACCATGGGGCTCTTGGCTTCTTCTCTGATTAATGCTTTCCTTGCCCTGCCTGTCAATTTAGGTGGACGGCCATGTCTTGTAGGTTTGCAGTTGTGCCATACTCTTTCATTTTTGGATGATGGATTGAACAGTGCTCCATGAGATGTTCAAAGCTTGGGATATTTTTTTTAACCTGTTTAAAACTTCTTCACAATTTTATCCCTGTCTGGTGTGTTCCTTGGCCTTGATGATGCTGTTTGTTCACTAATGTTCTCTGACAAATCTCTGAAGGCTACACAGAACATCTGTATTTATACTGAGATTAAATTACACACAGGTGGACTCTATTTACTAATTAGGTGACTTCTAAAGGCAATTGGTTCCACTAGATTTTAGTTAAGGGTATCAGAGTAAAGAAGGCTGAATACAAATGCACTATCCCATTCCACTACATGGAATCCCTGGTCTTATGGGTCCCAGTGTCTGGGGCTGTAATTGTGTTTTTAACAGCCAGGAATGCAGTCTGCTGTTCCGAACCCCATGAGAATTTTTTTTTCCTGTTCTGGCCTCAGAATCAGTCTAAGATGTGGGACTTTGAACGATCTCCATAATTCTACAATCGCCATAATTCCACAACTCCAATGAAATTCCATGTCTCCTTTTTGGAAGTTTCTTTTCTTTTTCACAACTTTCTCTGCAGTTTTCCTCTGCAGCACAATCCACAATATTCCCAGGAATTTCATCTCTTTGGCAAATCCCTTGAATTTGTCTCTGCTTTAGTTACTTTATATTTTGTCCTAGAGATCAATTTCAGGGTACTCAAATCTTGGGTTTATGGTCAGTACAGATTTCTGGTGAGTGAAAGCATTCCCGAGGAAGCATAGTGAAAGTGTACTGGTGGCTGTCCTAAACAAAGGCAAACCCGTCCTGACGCTCTGGGCTTTATTTACTAAAGCTGAAGAGGCCAAAAGCAGGCTCACTTCTGCATGGTAACCAATCAGCTTCTAACCTCAGCTTGTTCAATTAAACTTTGGCAATAAAACCTGGAAGCTGATTGGTGTCTATGCAGACATGAGCTTGATTTTGCACTCTCCAGTTTTCGTAAATAAACCCCTCTGGGTCTATTGAGACATCAAAGGAAACATTAGCCAGTTCTATCCACAGCATGATCTTCTGCCTGTTTTACAATTCTCTCAATAATGGAGATATTATCAGGTACAACTGACCTCAATGGAGGTGCCCCTTTGTAAAGGCTTCTGTAATCAACAGCCTCTTCTCATGTCCAATGAGCTTCCTTTACTGTGAGAAAGGGCTTCCAGAAGGACTAAGGATCACTATTCTTGACAGTTCTGTGCCCAGCTGTTCGTGTCCCCCTGTACACAGTGCTGTACTGGCCCCCATGTACTGGGTATGTTTTGTTGCTGCCCCAGGCTCCAGTATTATAATGAATGACCCTGCACTAACACTAGGCCATCATATCCTAAATAGCTACAGTAGGGTTGCCACCCCATCCCAATTAAACACATATTAATTACACAGGTTCTGAGGCTAATGTATTGCAGATAAAGCACTGAGTTAATTACCACCTTAATCAGCCATAGAACCTGTGTAATTAACTGCTTCCTGACCATCCTATAGCAGAACTACTGCTACAGGGCGGCAGGGCTGTGCAAAATCACGTGTATATATACGTGATTTTCTATTTCTGGGTACGTCCATTGGCGGCTACAGCTGTCAATCACCGGGTCCCCGCTGGAGATTCCCTTCCGGCACCTGACGATCACCGAGGAACACTGACAGGGGAGAGGTCTGCATGTAAACAATACAGATCTCTCCCATCAGCACCAGCATACTGCTGCATAGACTCTGCTCCCCAGCTGTTAACACCTTCCTGCCCAGTGCCATTAGTAGTGTCAGTGCTTTGTATTAGCACCGATCACTATATTAGTGTCCCCAGAGAGGTCAGTGGCAGTTAGTTCCCCCCCCCAGTGTCAGAATGCTTGCCGCAATCCTGCAGTAAGCTGCTGATCGCCGCCATTACTAGTAAAAAAAAAAAAAAATCCCAGTATATACACTGCCATTTGTAGACACTATAACTTTCACGTAAATCAATTAATTTACACGTACTGGGATTTTTTTTTTTTTTTTTAACAAAGACGTAGCAGAATACATTTTGGCCTAAATTTATGATGAAATTTGATTTTTAAAATTTTTTTTTACTGGGTATGTTTTATAGCAAAAAGTCCAAAATATATATATTTTTTTCAAAATTGTTGTTTTTTCTTGTTTATAGCGCAAAAAAATAAAAAACACAGCGGCGATCAAATACCACCGAAAGAAAGGTCCATTTGTGGGATAAAAAGGACATAAATTTCATTTGGGTGCAAAGTTGCATGACTGCGCAGTTGTCAGTTAAAGTAATGCAGTGCCATATTCCAAAAAATGGCCTTGTCAGGAAGGGAGGTAAATCCTCTGGAGGGCAGGTGGTTAATATGCGTTCAGTTTTAAAGGGATGAGGTGGCAACCCTAAGCTACAGCAGGACGTGGCAACCTGTTCAGAGCCTTGTCCCTCCCGCATCCAATCCAGGCACCTGTGTGTGATGTCACTCCTAGAATAGATGAAAGAGGTGCTGGAATCCATGTCTCACCACTGCTTCCCTGCGCCGCTCTGCGTATTCGTGGGGGTCATGTGACAGATACAAAGACATGGCCTGTCATGGGTTACCAACCCTCGCCTTTGACAGTTAAATATTAACATTTGCATAGAGTGTCATACAGCAGACTGAAATGAGGAGCCACAGTTGGGAGCTGTGCGATGACTGCATTCATTTATTTCAGGTACTTGTATAGCGCCATGAATTTACACAGTGCTTTACATATATATTGTACATTCACATCAGTCCCTAACCCTCAAGGGGCGTCCAATCTAAGGTACCTAACTCACATTCATACATACACATACTAGGGCCAATTCAGATAGGATCCAATGAATCTACCATAATGTCTTTGGAGTGCAGGAGGAAATTGGAGTACTCGCACAGACACAGGGAGCACATACAAACTCCAGGCAGGTTGTGTCGTTGTTGGGGTTCAAACCAACGACCCTACTACTGTAATATACATTCTGAGACACCCTGAGTCAAACTATTAGAACAGAGCAATCTACATCTGGAAAAAAAAAACTTTCTTTGCTCCGACCAGATTGAACTTCTCAGACCAGAAGAAACATGCCTCTAATTAGAATTCCTAAAGCTAGCCCGGCTTCTCGGGCGTTAATATAAGTGGCAGCATTTCCCAGTAATAACAAGCCGGGTTCAGTATCAGGTACAAATGGGGGTTTGGTCTCCAGGAAAATGGCGCCTATAGCCAATGGTACCAAAACAAACCGGTGACAGTTTGGCACAGGAGTTAGAGACGAATTCCACTTCCGGCGCGCCGTGGTGACGTAACCGTCTCCTAGTAACAACAAACGCTGAGCGGAGCCATGGCTGCTGGGAGGGTGATGGAAGCTGAAGATTATCTCCGAGAACACAAGATCATAGATCTGGTGAATAATCTGACCAGCCTGCTGCTTTATCACCAGCCAGGTAATCAGTGACCTCTCCCAGCCTCCACACTGCGATGTCCGCCGCGATACAGCATACAGTGCCTCCCCACCGCCTGTCAAAGGCTGTTTAGAGACCAAAGTTGTTGGGAACGAGCCCCGAGTTCCCTCAGTAACCATTGTATGAGCTGCATGTATATCCCGTCATGAATTACAGACACTGCTGTTGTTTCTGCAGTCTAACCTCTGGACAGTCACAGGGTGGTCTAAATAGACTTTAACCACTTACCCTCCAGAGGATTTACCCCCCCCCCCCCCCCCCCAGCGATACAGCGCTGCCTTACTTTAACTGACAATTGTGCGGTCATGCAACGTTGTACATAAATGAAATGTCTTTTTTTTTTCTAAAAATAGAGTTTATTTTGGTGATTTTTGATCACTTCTGCGTTTTTTATTTTTGCTCTATGAACAAACAAAATACTGACATAAAGAAAAAAAACAATATTTTTGACTTTTTGCTATAAAACATATCCAATAAAAAATGTAAAAAATAAAATGTCTTCATCAATTTAGGCTAAAATGTATTCTGCGACATGTCTTTGCTAAAAACAAAATCCCAATAAGTTGATATTAATTGAATATACACGTGAAGGTTATAGCGTCTAATGGCGGTGTATATAGTGGAATATTTATTTATACTAGTAATGGCGGCGATTAGCGACATAGCAGGACTGCGGCAGGCATTCTGACACTGGGTGAGAACTGACTAACCCGACCAACTGCCACTGACATCCCCAGTGACACTAATACAGTGATCAGTGCTAATAGAAAGCACTGACACTATACTAATAATGGCACTGGGCAGGAAGAGGTTAACATCTGTGGTGATCAAAGGGTTACCTGTGTGTTAAGGAGTGTGTACTGTGTTGTGTTTTACTAAGCAGACCTGCTGCTTTCTATGTGCTGTGCAGAGAGATAGTAAGCAGCATGTCCATGTTGACAGGAGAGAAATCTGTGTTGTTTACAATCCGATCTCTCCCCTCTCCGCTTCACCGACGAGTCCCGGTCAGGACCCAGTGAGTGACACTCTCATGAGCCAATAGCAGCGTGGGTAGGGCGGCGTCTACCCACAAATGCAAAATCACGTATATTTACATGATTTTGCACAGCAAAGCTGCCCTGTAGACGTACACCTGCTATCAGGTGGCAGGCAACTGCTTAAAGTGACAGTGTCATTGAAGAAGAAAAAAGATGAAGAGGGTTTTATACCTACCTCTCTCAGATTGTTACCTCTGCTGAAGGGCTCCAGCCTCTGCCTAAATCTGCAGTGTTTCACACTTTTGGGAGCGTGTAGTGCCATTGTGTAGGTTTTATTTATTTTAATCTAACCACCTCCGGACCATCTGCCCACAATGTACTGTGGATGAGCGCCCCATGTAGGCACAAGGATGCAGAGATGCACATTTTATATTCGGTAAAAAAAAGTTGTCAATTATGAAAAATTTAAGTTACACCCAAGCAAGCACATAAGACCCCCCCCCCCCCAAGTTTTTTTGAGGGCCTGCCCCTACATATACGCACGTACAAACGTAAATGCACACTTCATGACGCCTGTACATGAAAACATTGATTACGATACACATTACATATCGCTGCACATGCCGGAATGAGAGCAATGATTCTAGTACCAGACCTCCATCGTAACACTAAACCGGTGACCTATAAGGGGCTCTTAAAGTGCTGCCTATAGAAAATATTGGGTACTGAAGCTTGCCGCCATTTCACAGGTGCACGCACATTTAAGGTTTAACATGCTGGGTATCTTATTTACTTGATGCAACCTCATCTTTTATATTTTACCAAAGAAATTGGTAATTTATTGGGTTTTTGTGCTTCCTAAAATTATGTTTAGTGTGTTTTTTACTGACTTTTGCATTTCCTAGTCCTTTGCGGTAATATTTTTTTACATAACTTGGAACTACCTTTTATTTGATTCTCTAAGGTGTCTGCTTTCAGAAAAAATATATAATGTTTTGGGGAGTTTATTTAATCTTCAGGCCTAAAATGTTTTTTTATTCGTGTGCACAGAACTGCTCTGGTAGGGAATGGATTAAAGAAGGGGTGGGCAACTGTGTCCCTCCAGCTGTTGGTGAACTACAAGTCCCATCATGCCTCTGCCTTTGGGAGTCCTCTTGTACCTGTCAGTTTTGCAATGCCTCATGGGACTTGTAGTTCTACAACAGCTGGAGCGCCACAGTTGCCCACCCCTGGATTAAAGGATAAGTTCACCTTCAGGAACATGTTCCACCCATTTTTAGGGTGGAACATGTAATGTTCCTGCTTCTGCAATGGCTCAGCGATCCAAGCCCTCTGCGTGACAGCAGTACTGGGAGAAGTTCTCTAGCTGTACTAGCTGTCACTTTTTGAAAAGAGTGCCGCCTTGCGGGGCTCTGCCTTGCGTGGCTCTGCCTACCCGGCCACGTCATTCATTCACAGAGTTCTGTGAATGAATCATCTACACGTACCGACATTCATTGCGGATGTCGGCTTGTAGTTCTCAATGAACTACCACAGCGCTGATGAGTGCTCTGGTAGTTCATTGATCCTTCCTGTTAGTGTGAAACTGCCTGTCTGATCTGCTAATCACTGGTGTAATGCTTTCCAGACTCCTAAAAAAAAAAAAAGAATAGTAAATGCATATTTACCAGCAAAAAACGCGTTCATTATTATTATTTATTTTATTTTTTCATAAGGTAAACTCTGGAGCGGACACAAGAGTTTAATTTGGCAGCTCAGCATGCACTTGTACTTAGCACCCATGTGCTTCCGTGTGTGAGGGTAACCTGAACAAATTATTTTTTTTTCTCACTGGGGTCAGCGCCTAATTTACTCGCTCAGCAGATGCGCTTCTGCTGAGTGTTAAGAAAGTCCAATACTCCCTTTTCCTGAAAAGCACCCAATTGGTGCTCATCACACTGCAAGGTCTCTCCCATCCCTGCTAGTTCCTGGGGGCGGTGCTGGAGACAGGCAGGGAGGGGAAGGAGGAGATAAACCGCGCAATGTTAAAAACATTAAACGTTTAAGTCGCCATAAAGCCTCTTTTGTTTTTAAAAGCCCCAGACATTCCTAAAAGCACCTCTGATTTAAATACGGTTTGGGTTAAAAATTATTATTTTTTTTATCAGGACAAGTAGATTGTCATGAGGGACATGTAGATTGGGACCCCGATTTAGTCCCTTGGACAAGTAGTTATTTAAAACATTTCCACACCCCTGGTCTGATGTGCCTGTACATCACGGCCATCTTCCGAGGTTGCGTGTGCATGCACATGCCCTCCCCCCTTTCCTTGACCCCTACTGTAATTTGCTGGAGGACCAGTTTGTCAGCGGGTCCCGGCCAATAATTTTGCCCAGGACCCTACTGATCGGCTGCAGCAAATGAGAAAGAAGTTCTGTGACTGTTTTCGTAAACAGGCACTGGTTCTAGCTGGTTCTTCTCTTCCTGAATCCTTTTCAGTCCAGGAAGAGAAGAGAGAGGATCACAATGAGTAAAATCAGCACACTTTGCACACACACGTTAGTTGGGCACAATTAACCCATTGATCGCCCTTATTAACCATTTGATCACCCCTGTCACCAAGTCAGTGCCATTAGTATAGTTTTGGTGTACAGTTTTTGTCGCTGATCACTGTATTATTGTCACTAGCGACATCAGATAGCGTCAGGGTCAATTAGAGTTAGATTGCCTGCACACTATCACTCACACTATAGGTTGCTGATCACCACCATTATTAGTAAACTGTACTAGTATCCCCCTTAGTATAGTGTCCCAAAAAATGCAGCATTAGCAGGATCACCCCAGATACCTGCCAGCACTTGTGTTTAGCTCCCCCCCCCCCCCAATAAGTGCAGTGTCAGTAGATCACTGACACGTCTGATATATTGTGCACAAAACCACAGTGTTAGAAAGATCAGGCATGATCTTTGCTAGCACTAGCAGGTACATTTTATATATAGCAGTTAAAGCAATCCCTTACAGCCAGGAGCTCTTTTTTCCATGAGTCGCACTAGGAACCTGTGAATTTAGTGCCCAAAATGTCCCAAAAAGGTACACTAATGAAGAGGCCTACAGGATTCTGAGTAAGACAGATGAGAGTGAAGGGAAAGCCTCAGCGCCAGAATCAGGCTCAGAATACAAACCTGCAGAAAGCAGCAACACCCTGACTTGAGCTCGGACGAGGGAGAAGAGGTCTCTGTTAAGATCGGGTGTTCCTGACCCCAAGTAGCTGAAGTGCTAGGAATACATGACTTTTCTCATATGCAGCATTGTACTAGTGCTTTTTGGTGGACTGGCAAGCACTAGTGGCCTAGTACATTCTGGCATTTTACATACCAGAACTGCAGTATCTCATGGGGACGTGGTGAGTCCCAGAAGTGCAGTACACACTGGTGAGGTGACTAGCACTAATTGCGTCCCCCAGCCACCAAGATTTCGAGCACAGGCCCATAAAGCCCATAGTGTACTTCCAGAGGTGCTTGCAAATCCCGATAGGCAATCCCCAGATTCAGCAGCACCTGTTATCCTCCATTCACAGCCCAACCCGGAGTTCAGGTGGAAACAGCAAATTTAATAACTCCCCTTGATTTTTTTTTTTAGCTGGTTTTCACTAAAGATCTGTATCAATTGCTTGTGGCCGCACAACAATACAATGCCACCAACCCAAATTCAACTTGTATCCCACCATTCCCGTGGTTTCCAAATTTAAAACTTTCTTGGACCTAACCCTAAACATGGGCATTACAAAAAATAATGAATTGCAGCCATATTGGCCCACAGACCCGATTTATTAAATGCCCATGTTTTCTGCTGCAATGGCCAGCAAATGATATGAGACAATAATGCATCTCATGCATTATAGATGACTCTGTCGTCCTGAGGGTGACCCTGGATATGATTGTCTCCTCAAAATTTGGCCCCTCATATGTATATGCCTCAACAAAACATCTGCGTAGACGAGTCTCTCACACATTTCACTGGCCGCCT